CATCCATCCATCCATCCATCCATCCATCCATCCATCCATCCATCCATCCATCCATCCATCCATCCAGTACATACGTATACATACATACATGAATTCATTCATTCATTCACACATACATACAAACATACATACATTTTCTGATGCTTTGTTTAAACTAAATTTATATATCAGTGATTGCATGGCCTCTGTAGATGCCATAATTTAAATAAAGAAAGAAAGCCTAGCTATCTAATATAAGTATTAACATATTATGGGAACGTGATTAAAAATCAGGCATTCAGTCTTACCTAGGTCTTCTAAACCATTCTGGTTATTGCTCCATTCCTTAGCATATAAAATAGATAGCTGCATTAAGGCAAAGCACAGTTAAGGGAGGAGCAGCTATTAAAACCCACCCTCCCTCTTACTGATGATGCTACTTAGGGAGGTAATGAAACGCCTGCACCGAAACAGCCATGTTCAGAGACCACCAAGAAGCCAACAAAAGGACTTTTCATGCTATGAAGTAAGTCTTGCTTATTTAGCCAAGCACAATTGTTTTCAGCACATGATCACATGAAGCCAGGGAGATGATCCTCAAAAAGGAAGGAATGAAAAAGATCTTACCTTGAATCACTTAATGCAAAATCAATGGCTTTCAGCAAGTTTATATTGAATTTTTCAAACTGTCCCTAAAAGGAAATGTATTTCACTTTGAAATTAAAAAAAACACCTCTATGATGTATCACTATTCTAGTACCAACAAACCCCAAACTGTTATTAATTCAAAATTCACAACTTTTACCTACTTCAAATATATGTACCATTCCTTTTCTGTTTATAATATGATGCCTATATGTATAATATATTGCATGAGTTGGTAGGTAATAAAGTAAACTATTGGATTAATTAAATGGGGGCCACCTATAGATGACAGCAGAAGGTCCATTGCATCTGAATACAATCTCTCTTCCGTTTCTTTATAGGTATGTAAATAGTAAATACGATTTTATACACCTGCAGAACCTGACAAGGAGCCAAGTCTCCAAAGTCTGCTAAGAGTTTATAATAAATGCTATTTAACACACTTTATCCCATTCAGAGTAAGGCTTTAAATGGAGCCGAGGTGGCGCAGTGGTTAAATGCAGCACTGCAGGCTACTTCAGCTGACTGCTAGTTCTGCAGTTCGGCTGTTCTAATCTCACCGGCTCAGGGTTGACTCAGAGGTGGGTGAAATGAGGACCCGGATTGTTGTTGGGGGCAATATGCTGACTCTGTAAACCGCTTAGAGAGGGCTGGAAGCCCCATGAAGCGGTATATAAGTCTAACTGCTATTGCTATTGTTATATACAATCAGTGTTACACACTCACTTGCACTGAGGATGTTACTTAGTTGGGTAATGAAACGTCTGCAAACTTAAGTTCAGAGACCACCAACAACTCCACGATTCAACTCTTGAGTTATCTCCTTGATATTTATTTGTTCATTAATTAGGATATTATCTTCTGTTGCTTAATTGTTTCCCCTGCCGTTAAATCTCTATTCACTGTTGGCTGCTGGTAAGGGGGCGTTTAGGTCTGCCTATTGTTGGCTGCTGCTAAACCAGTGTTTCTCAACCTTGGTGACTTTAAGTCCTGTGGACTTCAACTCCCAGAATTCTCCAGCCAGCAGAGTTCTGCTGGCTGGAGAATTCTGGGAGTTGAAGTCCACAAGTCTTAAAGTTGCCAAGTTTGGGAACCACTGTACTAGTAGCCTCCTAGGCAAGCCAGAGGATACCCAAACGCCACAGGAAACAGAGGTAACAAGAACATTTGCTCTTTAGCTGTTGCCAAGCGACTCTGAAGGGATGCTTTCTCGAAGCATGATCAAAGAAAAGTACCCTTTGAAGCTTTTGCAGAGCCTGAATCCGTTTACTCAATTCAACTGATTTTCAAGATTTGTGCCACACATTGAGGCATAAATTAAAACTATCAGCTACAAACTACACTGAACTAAAATGTGGTTGGCAAGCAACTGGTTCAATTGTGTCATGCAAACAGAGACATACAGCATTATGCTTCATTAGAAGCCTTTAAAAAAAAAACACTGCTGTAGACATTCATCTATTGTCTCTCAAGGAGAATTTTTGTGGCCACTGCATAGACTGAAAATAATTACTGAGGAAAAAAATCTAACCTTTTCTGTCAAGTAGAAGTGGGATTAAGTGAATTTTCCAAGAATGTTGACAGTTGGAAACAGTGCTTTGTATGCAAGAAAACTAAAAAATAATTTGTATATTCAGTGTGTAAATAGATACTCAGTTGTCTATGACAAGCATCTTAACTTGTCAAATATTATACTTATCTTCCACCTCCCCATACATCATAAATTTATATGGTGCAAGACACTATTAACATGGACAAATGAGTTTATATATATATAAAAAAACCACCTCAGCTAAGAATAAATAAGCACCCAAATCTTACTTCTCTGGATCTTACTTCTCTGTAAACATGCTTTTCATTTAGGAAGACACCCATTTTTTTAAAAATGTCTGGAGGAAAACTTTAGCAGTTTACACAGTAAATACTAAAAAGAATTCAAAACCATTTACTTTGTTGTTTCTCAGCATCTGACAGCTGCTGCCTAATCAATATCTCCATGGCTTTTCAGCTATTTTTTTTTTCAGTCTTGGTTCAGAATCTGCTGGAAGAAAAAAAACAATCCAGGATGAAAAGCAAAATAATATTTCAGGCTCTTTTACCCAGAAACGTTCAGCCATTTTTGCAAGAGTATTTGGGATTCAATAGCTGCGCTAATTGTGACCTGGCTGTATTTTTGATATAGTTCCAATACAAAAGGATATAGAGGTTTTGTGTGTGTGTGTGTGTGTGTGTGTGTGTGTGTGTGTAGCTCAGAGTGAAACTGTGGAGTTGTTGTTGGTCTCTGAACTTAGTTGTTTCCTTGCAGACGTTTCATTACCCAATTAAGTGACATCTTCAGTGCAAGCGAGTGTGGGAGTTTCTCCCTGCCTATATGATGACCCAGACTGTGGGTTGGACATAAAAGCAGGAAGAATGGGAGCGACTTGAGCCGAGGTGGCGCAGTGGTTAGGGGTGCAGCACTGCAGGCCACTTCAGCTGACTGTTATCTGCAGTTCAGTGGTTCAAATCTCACCGGCTCAAGGTTGACTCAGCCTTCCATCCTTCCGAGGTGGGTGAAATGAGGACCCAGACTGTGGGGGCGATATGCTGACTCTGTAAACCGCTTAGAGAGGGCTGAACGCCCTATGAAGCGGTATATAAGTCTAACTGCTATTGCTATTGTTATATACAATCAGTGTTACACACTCACTTGCACTGAGGATGTTACTTAGTTGGGTAATGAAACGTCTGCAAACTTAAGTTCAGAGACCACCAACAACTCCACGATTCAACTCTTGAGTTATCTCCTTGATATTTATTTGTTCATTAATTAGGATATTATCTTCTGTTGCTTAATTGTTTCCCCTGCCGTTAAATCTCTATTCACTGTTGGCTGCTGGTAAGGGGGCGTTTAGGTCTGCCTATTGTTGGCTGCTGCTAAACCAGTGTTTCTCAACCTTGGTGACTTTAAGTCCTGTGGACTTCAACTCCCAGAATTCCCCAGCCAGCTATGCTGGCTGGGGGATTCTGGGAGTTGAAGTCCACAGGACTTAAAGTCACCAAGGTTGAGAAACACTGTGCTAAACCATGTTAGCAGGATGAGAAACACGCCACGCGGTGCCAAATCTGCAAATATGTTTTTTTTGCAAAGTATGATTCATACCATCAAGCATTCAGGTTTTGCCTTTGGAGCTTATTTGAGGAACAGGGTCTGTGTTTGGGGGGGGGGTGTGTCTGGGTGTGTGCGTGTGCGCATGCGCGGACCTATCCCCATAGACACACACACAGAGGTTACCTGCTGGGGTCGCTCTCAAGCGGCGCCTCTTCAGCTCCTCTGCCGGTCCTCTTCGGCGTCTTCTTCGGTCCTGCCTGCCCCCCCCCCCCCGACGGCCGGTCCAGCACCGTTCTCCACTCGCCCCGCCGCCGGTACTTAAGCGGACCTCCCTCCGCTTCGCCTCCGAGTCGTCCCGGAACCGGCTCTCCTCCCCCCCCCCACAGGAGCGACTTCAAGCGCCGCGCGCCGCCGCGTCCCTCGGTCTCCTAGCAACGGTTGCTAAGCGATTCGTTTCAGTATGCTCGCTTCCCTACGGGGTCCCCGAGAGGCCAGAATTCCTCCCCAAGCGAACGGTCTCCTCCCCCCCCCCACTGCCCCGAGAGACGTCACTAACTGCTTGTCGCTTTAAAGCTGTTGCTTAAAAAAGCTGAGAGCAAATAGAATCGAGACAAAACAATTAGAAGCAATTTGTGTGTGTGAACTTGCTCCTAAATGTTTTTAGTAGCAGTCCGATCTATTCGTGGCACATGGTGAAAACGGCTTAAGAGAGCTCTCAGCCAGCATTTCTCAACAACTTAAGGACTTCAACTCCCAGAATTCCCTAGGCTTAATTTGCTTCCTTAAGAGAGAAACCAAATTTCAAAGTATTGCTGATATTCATTTCAACTATCTACAAATATTAACACAGACTTCTCTAAACTTGGTTCTGTCTAGCTGTATGGAATTCTACTTATTCTACCTTATTAAACTTGCCATTTTTAGAAGTAGGAAGAAAGTTTTAATTTTCACACCAAAAATCTTACATATTCCTCAATTTTCTGATTTCTATCCTTTTTAGAAATGTTATATAACTTGGCTCAAATCAAGTCTGTGATAGTATGGTTCACAAGTACTTTTATATCTCGGAGTAATGGCCTAAATCATTTGCATTCGAGATGTATGCTCTTGAGTTTTATGCTATTAAAATATGCCTACTTTGATTGCAAACAATCTCTTCTACATTTAACATGCATTTCATGTGTCTTGGCTGACTTTCCCTCAAAACCACTCAGAAAATACACTGCAGTTCTTTAAACATTTTACATCTTATAACAAAACAAATCACAAAATAAACATATGGTTTGGTATAAGAATGTAATATGAGCATCACACACTTATGGCTTTACTTAGTTGTAAAATTTTATATTTTGTAATTTCAGTTCTGAAACTTAGTTTATTTGAAAAAAATTGCCAAGCTCCCCCTCTCCCCACTAAAGCAAATATACATGACTATTTACATTACATTATCACTTTGGCAGGTTCTATAGAGTTCATGGACAGTGATTTAACCAGCTAAGGTTACTCAAGCCTAATTTAAGAGCTTAATATTAATTTAGACCCTTCTGTGAACAGAGAAAATCATAGACCCATCCGGCTAGCAGGGCAAATCAATTGCCTTAGTGAATATTTTATGTATTTAGTTTGTCAAACATGTACAAGATACCAGATATAAGTATAAACATGGACATGAACGCAGGAAATGGGTACGAATAAATGGGAACAATAGAGCAGGGATGATAGGCACACTGGTGCGCTTATGCCCCCCCCCCCCTTATGGCCCTCTTAGGAAAGGGGTAAGGGCAGGCCCACGCTAGACAGTTTAAGGTTAAAGTTATGGGGGTTTGAGGATGTATTTTGCATATCCCTTGGCTTCGGCAGGAAATCTGAAGTAAAGAGTATGGTAGCAAAAGTAAGAATTTATAGAGTGATTTCAAAGATGGATGGATTTAAAGAATGTGCTATTGAGAACTTTTTCAAACATAAAATGTAATCACCTCTAACTTTCATATCTAACAGAATATCAGAACAGCAACTGAAGTATCCGTTAGACCAATATCTATGCAAAGGTCATAGAAGTGAGTAATTGCTTTGCCTGCTTGATCAGAAATGTGGTTTACTTTAAATAGAAAAAGTTAGTTAGGATTACATTGAAAGACAGTTGTTACTTAACTTAATCCTTACATTATGAATACAATTTAAGAATAATAATCTGGATTGGATACTTTCCAATCTAGATGGTAGAAAGCAGTTCATTCACTTTTTGTCATCATTAAAAAAAAAACTGTTACAATTAATTGGGTGAAGAACCATTGTTTTTGCCAAGAGATTGCTTAAAGGGCCACAAGGATAATGTAAATGCTATAAGAGAGAGAAGAGTTAACTTGATGGCAATCTGGTGTCTATGATCTCTAGAGGACCCTTAAATTCTCTTGAAAAGCTCCATTACTGTGGTGCCAGCAGCTCCTTTCCAATCAACTCGAGAGCCTTCTTCCTTCAACTGCATCATCGGAAGTATATATCCCTTATGGCTTTATCAGATGTCTTATAAGGTGGCAAAATAATAAGATCCTTCCCAAGAAACTTCTTTCTCCATTAGATTCTTTTGTTTTATTTAGCATAGGTAGTATATGAGCTTAATCTTCCAGACAACGATAGATCGATTGATTTCTTTGCAATTGCAATCACAATTCTTTCTGCAAAGAAAATGAACTTTAACCATCACACAAGAATGGCTAAAGAGGAAATTGTACTGATATGAATTATTCTTTATTGCAATATCTTGTTACAAAAATTATCATCTGATTGTACATTTGCAATAAGTTCAATGTGAAATTTGAATCAAGTCAAGTCATTCCATATAATCTTTAACAGGATTAAAAATCTTTATATAAAACTGTACAATTTATACTGTGAAAGCAATACAGGCAACAGTTACTTATTAGTATATCATATCACAAAGCAAACCGCATAGCAATGCCTAATATATTGGTACAAAGTAGGAAGATGAGTTTAACTCCAGGAGGCCTTTGAAGTCGTATGGTAAGAATTCCCTTGAAGAATGTCTTGCTGCGAACAGTAGGGAATCTGCTGAGACGTTAAATAGGTTGCTCCAGGAAGTAATCATTGCAATGTGGTCGATGAACATTATAGAAAGAATTTTCTTGCTGAAGAATGTGGGGATAACAGTTCCTTTTCTCATTTGCAGAGACTTTGGACGAGCTCTTTGCAGAGAATCTAAATACCTTGGTATAAAGATTGTTGTACCATGTGCTGGTTTTTCTTATGCAGATTAGACCAGAGGTGGGTATTCAGCAGGTTCGTACCAGTTCTGGAGAACCAGTAGCGGAAATTTTGAGTAGTTCGGAGAACCAGTAAATACCACCTCTGACTTGCCCCGCCCCATCTCTTCTCTACCTCCGGAGTCCCAGCTGATCAGGAGGAAATGGGGATTTTGGAGTGGGGAGAGAATGGAGATTTTACAGTATCCTTCCCCTGCCATGCCCACCAAGCCAGACCCACAGAACAGGTAGTAACATTTTTTGAATCCCACCAGTGGATTAGACACTATGCAGTTGCCTTTGTTTTATTCTATATCCCAAAGTTACTTAGGCACTGATAACAGTGTTTTAGCGCAGGGGCCCCCAACCCCAGGTCCGTGGCATGCCAGCACTGGGGCGTACAAACAAGCGAAGCCCCATCTGTGGGATGCAGACAGCATGCAAAACCACACACCCTCCGGTCCTCAAAAAAACCTTTCTCTATGGAACTGGTCCCTGGTGCCCAAAAGGTTGGGGGCCACTGTTTTAGCATAACAGACACCTCATCTATCTTTAAACATTATAGGTCTGCATTGTTTCAACAAAAGGTACTATTAGGCAATTAATCACCCTCCAGCTTTTCTTCCTGAATCCTTCATCCATACCCTCAC